TACATTTTTTCATGGCTGTTTAAGTCATAGAAACTCTGGGGATAGATGGGCATATGTTCAAGAATGTGCTCATCATATTCAAAAGGAAAGATAGGGGAGATAATCGTCCCGGCCAAAAGATAGGCACAAAACTTCTCCTACACCATTCAAGATTGGTGAGGCAGAATTATTAGCAGAAATCCAAGTAAAAACGCGATCCCTGTTATATTGACAAAAATGGTCACTGAAAGTAAAGCATTATATACCCGCTTGTTCTTCTTCTAAACATCATGTAAATACAAAATGAATGAAAGCCTAGCTTGAGCTATCATTGATGTAATCCAAAAACATGCCCTTCCAAAAAAGAGCATATATGCAGTACATTTGTCATACTAGGTTTCAAATATTTGTTACCCAGAATTGAATAGAAATAAATAAATCTGTATATGCAACTATTTCTCAAGCAGACACTGTGCATGACTTCAGTACTTATTCAATCATCTGTTTATGGTATAATATCTTGACTCTTTCTTCCATAATGTACTACAATTCAGCTTTCATAAAAACACCCCATTTGACCCAACAGTAACCTTAAGTATTATTTTTTTTGCTAAAAATCCTATTCTTGTGATTCTGTTTGATTTTCCTTTCAACAGTCTTGAATTCAAACTTGATTAATCATTTCACCTTTAAACATATTATGCTCACCTATCTGATCTGTTCTTGTATTTCTTCGTCTTCCACTTCTTCTAAGGTTGGTGAGACTTGCAGGCCAATGATGGAGTTGTACAGAAAGGGGCTAAATAATTTCGGCGAGGAGCCACTGTTTGCCAGTGACATAGCCATGAAAGTTCCAGCCATCTCATATTTTCGGGACTCCAGGGCTGTAAAAACCAAACAAAATAGGACAATACGAATCAGATATCCTGCAACCATAAAAGTAGGATACATTATAACCAGTATCATGACGCTAATGAGCAATCAACATCAAAGGTTCCAACCAAAGCAACCAATATGCTATAACTAACTGCTGCGACCTTCTTAAAGTGATTATGTCACGAATTTGCGAAGGGATGATATGCCACTTGATGTTGCCTCTTGTATTTGATCGCCTTGTTGGTTCATTTTTCTTGGAAATTGGGGGTAGTTTGTTGACTATTGGAGTAACGCCTGTGGACGAGTCGTAGTAGCCTAGAAGTGTTTTGTACTCTGGCGTTTCCTTCAGGGAGGCAATCTCTGTAACTATGTCCGAAAGGTCGAAGAGTCGTTTCGGATCATTATTAGAAATGTTGACGAATGACGATAATTTCTTCTTTATCGATGCGTCGACCATTTCTGGTCTGCCGTACAGGACGTCTAGCCACTCCCAAATACGACTGAGTCCAAGCTCTGGGTTTCTTGCGTTCGCGGCTCGGATATTTAGGGCGTGCTTCGATGAGTCAGGACCCAGCCACTTTGTCAGTAGCTCTATTTCCTCTACCTCCGAAACGCATAACTGTGGTAATGTTCCCAAAGCTGGACTTATCGTCTGTGAACTTAGTCAGCCTAGAGAGGAGGAGATCTTTCTTGATCATGAATTTTGAGAATTTTGCGCACAAGTTGACGACTGGTTCCTTTTTTGTGGGGTGGTATACAGCTGCACTAGGATTCATAGGTGTTTGTATACCGGACGGGTTCCCCGATGGTTGATGATCAAATGTGTGCATGTTAGATGACACAAATGTCTTGTCGTGAGTTACCTGCTCTTGAGACGCATTATAACATTATAACATTAAGTACAGTGGAGTCTCGATTATCCGCAACTCGATTATCCGCGGTTGATCCATGTCGTTGCCGTGTCACTGTGTAGATACCAATGCTCTTTTCCTTGTGGAGTGGGTAGAGAGATTTCAGGTATGACAGAAATTCGGCCTCCGTCTGCTCAATCTCCACACTTGTTTTCTTGCCACCAAGTTCTGCAGCATAGCCTACAAGTAAATATATGCAGTATAAGGAATAATGGCATGCTTTGCGGAATTTACAATTACTATTAATGATACTCAATCGGTTCAAAATTTACTATCGATCATGAATCGGTTACTACAATTGGTTGTAGTAATTATGACTCCTGCCTCAACCTTTAAGTAAATTTTGATGGTATAGAATACATAATAACATATATTATACAATATACATATAAAATATTCATAAGCAATGAACCGTGTTTTTATTTGAAATTTAAATTATTAGTTGTTGCAGGGGTCAACAAATCCCATCGCCCGACGTCCGAGGCTAGTGACTTTGGACTTCAGACCACTGAAAACTCGTATACCCGCCCGACAGGCTAGTTAAGAAAAAAAAATTTAAATCTTCTCTTTCTTTGTCTACAGCCGCACACGTGGCAATTAGCCTAACCCGTGCGATTAACAACGTTTTCGGACTAGTGACCAAAATATCCGGACTAATGAAATCTGGAATGGCACTAGTCCCTGAACTAGTGATTTTGTCAAAGATTCATCAACCCCTGGTTGTTGTAAATTGTCTAGCTACGTCAAGGACATGAATTTGGACAATATTATTTGGTCATGGACTATTTTGGCAGGGTTCCTAGATTTGCTGCACAGACCAAATAAAAAAAGTTTGGTGTTTCAGGTAAGCCGACCGATCATACGGCCACAATAAATGAAAATGTGTTGACGTCGCATCAAGTTTCAACACAATATGGGTCGTACCTAACTATACTCAATATTTTTATCGCGTCAGCTGCGAACAGTATAGAGACGAATCCACATTGTATGTCTCGAACAGCTTTATTGCAAGGCAACGAAACACAGTGAAGACTGAAACATAACAGAAGTCAACAGTATAAGCCACCTGGTTGGAATACGTTACTGTAGAATCATAATTGTGCAGTATTGTTAACATTAGATACACCACCAAATATATACTTTATACATGTACATAAACATGTAGAATACATGTACTTGTAACACACTCACACACATGCTTGCACAGGGAGTACACAATCTGATTCACACATACTGCTTCAAACCCTAATAATCAAACACCAGCATATGTACATGAGAATTGTACAAATTTAAGTACAATTGATGTATCTACATGTATGTTAGGTTTGTAAGGATATACCAATAATATCGGTATGTACCAATTCAGGCCCATTGATACAGTACACAATATAAAAAGTCAGGACCACTATTCACACAGCAACTCGCAATGTTTCCAGCCAATACAAAAACTTTACAAAACATCTTTCACATAGTGCTATGAAATACTAAATATTGGCACAGCTACATCATCATGTACATTGTACAAGTAATTGCCAAAAAGGCAACCAGGTAATTTAACCATTAAAGATAAAACCATGGAACTTTAACAGGGGTAACATTAACAGTGCAACATACTAATGCATCATGCATCTTGTACATATTTTCTGCTTAAATAGAGTTAATATTGTTTTGTAATACCTAGTTGAAGTTACATTTGCTATGCCTAGTCATGTTATGCAAAATCACAATCAACATTCGAAAAATCATCAAGTTCCAAGATCAGTCAACCAGTGATAATATCAGGTTACAGAGCCCATGATAAGATATTGGCAACTGTATTGTGATACATGCTATGGAATTTTGCTGTAAAATCCATTATCTGCACTCACTGCCACTCTATTTGGATGAAGTTCTCTGCATTTCAAGCAAGCATATTTCTTATCCAGTATGTTGGACGGCATTCTTCTAAATCCTACCAAGTGTTTGGGCCACATGACAAATTACAGTCACATGCTATCAACTGATCTTTGACTTTTGAAAAGTTTGGAGCTCTACTGTCCTTACAGTAAGATGTGCATCCTAACACCCAATTACCCACCTGACCTACAGTAGGCTTATCAGTGTCATGTCCATCAGTAGTTGGCACAGTGTCAACAACAGCAGCTACCTGTACAGCATCCTCGACATCTAAGCTAGCAGGTGATGGCACAGAAGCATCATCAACATGAGGGGAACTTTCAACCTCCACAGAAGGACAAGCAGTCTGCATGCCGTCATTAGACTGAGAATCCATGCGAGTGCGGGTTTTGTTTTCTGTCCCATTATGCAATGGTGTCGAGTTATTTGATGACTCGATCTCTCGAGCTAGTAGTTTGTCAGAGTAAAGCTCATAGCCTTTTTTCACCCGACCTGTGATAATCTCTGCTGCAACATATTCGGAAAAGAATGACTTGAGATTTGGGAGCACAGTCTCATCCCAGTAGATCACATCATAGTCAACCGGTACTGTAACATATCCAAGTTTACTCCAGATCAACATCTCAGCAACATGTATGTCAGACAATGCTTGTTGCATTAATATCTGTTCATAATATCCCTTGTGGTGTTTCTTTCGCAGACTCAGTTGTCCATCACGTGACACAACATAGTCTAATTGGCTTTGTGATATAATATCATTCAAGTCACTGTTCCTATATTGGTAAGGACATTTCACTTCCACAATCTTGCTTCCATGACATGAACATGTAAACACTGCATCTGGACTAACCCGAATATAGGGAAATTCATGCCCCCATGCCAATGCTGGCACTTTTTTGCTCAAATCAGGATCATGGTTATATTGCATTATGTCACTCACTATATTTTCTGGCTTGGACCTCTCATGTTCATAGAAATTGACAATTCGGATAGCCTTGCTTCCAGTAACGGCCCCTTTCCGCTGCTCAAACCATTCTTCTGATTCAGACTGACCTCTGGTAATGTTCTCAATATTAATTATGTCTTCATCAGATAACACTAACGAGCTGACAAACTTATTTCTAATGTCATGGAACTGGTCATCTGCAGTCGACTCCAAAGTTGGATGGGTGAATTTGAAAATAGGCAGAGGGTAAGACTGGGCTATGATTTCCTTTGAATATGGAAACTGTGAATCCAGATATTGATCCTGTAAATGTTTCTGGATAGGAGGGTCAGCCACAGGGGTTATCCTAAATCTATTCAAATCAATAATATTAACAACAGGTGGCATGGCAGACTTTCTGTTCGAATTTCGAATGTCAAAGATAAGCTGAAGTACCCGCTGGTAATTCTCCTCATTTGACAACTGTGGGGCCACTTGGTAAGAGTAATCCTTAATTGTTGGTTTATTTTTTTGGTCACCACTCACTTTCACCTCTTCCAACAATTTTGGTTGCACAGTCGCAGACTTGGGATTAGACCAGCCACATAATGTTTCTGTACACGCCAGATCATCGGGAAGTGTTTCTTTTCCATTTGCCACCAGTTCACAGAGAAGAAACAGTAAGGCCCCAACATGGGAACAAGCCTGTCCCCTCCTGTAATGTAAAAAAACAAAAACAAACTTAATATCACATCTCGGCAGCAATTTTATCAATTGGGGCTGAATTCATATCCTCTAAACATACCCAACAGTGCATATACAGAATGCTCCATATGGCTCACTGGTCGACTTGTCCAAAATGACATGCAGCCATTTTACACGTTTCCCATCAGCACTCTGAGAGGGCAGGCACTGGGCTTTCACCACACAAAAAGTCTTGCTGTCTGGCAGGCTATGGAACATCACACTATGAATATGTTTGGCATTTAAGTGTGCATATGACCTTGACAGTTTATATTTCTTGAGTTCATCCTTGGTAAAATCAGGGTTGTTGCTCGATAGCAAATATTTTTTAACTGTCCCTATATCGAGTTCTGGAAGTTGACTAATATCTTTGGTCCAGCCATCTAGAGACTGTACAAAACCAGGTGTTAATTTTTCAAATTCGGATATTTCTATGTTATCAAGACAGTGGTCTACATTCCTAGGTAGTTTGGATTCCTGGCCCTCCATATGTGACCCTGTTGTAGAAATTCCCATTGTGTCACATAGCAATATTTCCAACGCTTCACGTCCAATCCCGGTTGGTTTAATACCAGCATCTTTACAGAACCACTGCAAATAAATATGCGATAAACCCTTCACATCCTTATATCTTCGTGGTGTAGGTACAGGTGGACCCGTAGGTAAAGATGGTGTATTTTGATTTCTCGACATTGCTATATATGTATATTCCTCCTCCCTGCGAGAACATGGGCGAACCCATGTGCAGACATGTAAACGTCATTTAGAGTAAAAATAGTCACTTCACCTATTATAAGTGAGTGTAAATTCTCCATCTTGTGTAGTAGAATATATGTAGCAGCAGAGATTATCACAGGTACTGTAGAGTACATTTCACATGTCTATATACACAGTGACACGGTCACCCCATACTGTAACGTTGGAATGCGAGTTCATAGAGAAATGATGTAGAAACAGATCCAAATCCAGAACTTGTGTGGTAAACTGTATAACTTTTAATATCTTACACACCTCACATCTTCTTACACACAGACAAAGACAGGAGGGGAGAAGGTGTTGGAGTAGGTGGAGGAGGAGGAGGAGGAGGAGGAGGAGGGGAGAAGGTGATGGAGGAGGAGCAGGGGGCAGGAGGAGGAGTAGGAGGGGAGACAGTGATAGATGAGCAAAAGGTGAGAAGGTGATGGAGATCGAAGGGAGAAGGTAATGTGGGAGTAGGAGGAGGAGGTGTAGGAGGGGGATAGTTGAATTATTCACATTATCAGGAGTAGATAACAACATATCATGTGTTTATTCTCTGTTTATTCCTGATTTGTGATGCTATATAGCAATTAATACTGGTTAAAATTTGCTGTCTTGTACAACTATATCTGACCAAGGTAAGTTACCATTGAATCAGTGCACTGTATTAGCTACTGTGCATACAGCAAGTTTCAGCTAGTAGACAATAGAATAAACTATGCACGTTGCAGTCGGTAGCGCACGAAGGGTCGTTGTCGTATAATGGCGTATAATATCAGGAGTTAATGAAGACAAAGGAGTTTGACACGTATTTGGTGCTGATTTCACTACATTTTTGTCATACTTGTCGTCTCCTCCTCCTGCCCCTCTTCCTCCTGCCTCCTACTCCTGCCCCTCCTCCTCCTCTTCCTCCCCCTATTCCAACACCTAGTCGTGCAAAAGTACGATTTATGTCAAAACGAAGTAAGCTATGCGATTTGTAATACTACCGGAAGATAGAATAAGGAGTCTGGACCAGTGAACAAAACAAGCTCAGGTTTCAAACTCGTATGACAAAAATGTAGTGAAATCAGTACCAAATACGTGCCAAACTCCTTTGTCTTCATTAACTCCTGATAATATGTACCCGAGGTAACTATTTGATATGGTTATGGTTAGGGTTAGGGTTAGGGTTAAGGTTAGAGCTAGGGTTAGGGTTAGGGAGTAGCCGTAGGCGACATACTCGCCGACACCTCGGGTACTGTAGAGATTTCGGTTACACCGAAGACTCTATTTCAAACAACAACACACTACAGGGCGTGGCCATTTTGGAATAACTGAAAACCTGGATCGGAACACCAGGTTACACACAACAAATTCCACTTAAGAAATGAATACACAAAATCAAATAAGGGAAAACTCGAGCCATAATAAAATACAGGTTAAAAAGATAATGAGTAAATAAGTAAAACGATAATTAGAATAGAATACAAATGGAAAATTACTCGGCCAGGGCAGCTGACGTAATAGGCCTAAATGCGGAGCTTAATGTAAACAAACGGCCGCATCGAGGCAGAGCACACCGGTATACACCGGTACGGAAGCGATGCCAGCTGGGAACACCCCTGCTTGTTGCTAGGAGAAGGAGGTGGATCGTACACGGCCAGGTAGCAACCAGGCAGTATAGTCCAGTTGTGAAAAGCCCTTTTTGGGGTGAACGTGGTTTTTGCGTCCCCACAAAGTTTTTTTGCGGAATTTGTATCGTTGACAGGTGCAGATTAAGAATCTGGATGATGCCGGCGTGGCACCCTTGGGCATTTCGCATAATATGCAAATTAACGCGGCCATTTCCGAAATTTGAGGTTTTGGCCATAACTAGCTTGCTTTACAAGACAGAAGTAAAATTCTGGTGTCTACCCCCAGGTTTTCAGCGTTTCTGGTTCTGTTTAGGTCATCCCCAACATGATTTGATCATTTTCATATGCATAATATGCAAATTAACGCGATCATTACCGAAATTTGAGGTTTTGGTCATAACTCGCGTGCTTAACAAGATAATACATATATTGTTGCTTTACAAGATATATATTACAGTGGTCTCGATGATATCCTGAAGTCAGGTTTTGGTGGAGTGCAGAACATGCTGTCAGGGAAGAAGTTTCCACAGAATGTCAGGGCATTATGTCTTGTTATGGAAGAAGTATTGTGTAAGGTTGTTGAAAACCTCGATACCTATGAGGACCTGATCATTTCACTAGAGGCGCTGTCCGAGCAGAGCAAGACAACACGACTGTGGGTGGACTGTTTAATCAAGCCAGTTCTTTTGATGATGGTGTTTGTACGGGCAGAGCGCGAGGGCGACTGGCCCCTGCATCTGTGGGCTGTTCAAGAAATGATGCCTTACTTCTTCGCAGCTGGACATCATAACTACGCTTGATATCATATGGACTCTATTATCTTCGAGCGATGGAAAAACTTCCTAATGAAATCCTGGAGAAATTCTTAAAGGGAGAACATGTGATGCGCCACAAACCAGGCATTTGGACTGGCATTTGGTCTGATATGTACATAAGAGACTACATTCATGAGGTATGGGAAAGGACCTAAGGGCATAATATGCATTACATTGAAGCCATCAACCGTGAAACGTTGGGCTTTCAGCATGCACGTTTGTTGCCAAGTTGCAAATGATGTGGCAGCAATCACACAAAGACGGACAAAGGTAGAGGGTCATCACACAAGGGGAACATCCGCAACAAGCTGGAGGTTTCCACTGATCCCCTTGATCCGACTGACCACCCAGATAAAATTGTGAACATAGTTACTGGCAGAATTGCAGCATGGTCTGTCAATGTAGACAAGTCAGTAGAAATAGGCACAGCCCACAGGGGCGGATACAGGATTTCTGTAAGGGGGGGGTGCAATAAATAAAAAGGGCAACTGTTATGGATGGAGCGTGTGGTGAAGGCGCACGCGGCGAGCGCCGAAGGCCGGAGGCGCGAAGCGGACAGCGGGGGGGGGGGGGGGTATGGGGGCACTCCCCCAGAATTTTTTTAAAATTTAGACCCCGGAAATGGCATTTCCTGCATTGTCAGGTGATTTTTAAAGGATCTAAATACCATAAGTTTCAATGAGAAATATTTATTTGAAATTACATCATTTATAATCGCTTCACTGACCAATAATAATACATTATAACAAATTTTTAGTATGATGATTTTTTTAAACATTTTACTAAGTTTAAAATGTAGTGTAGTGTGACCAGTTTATGTTAAATGTTAT